TCTACTATTACCCAATAAAGACATAACTTATTGAGATCTTTTTATCTTATTATTTTCAGGTACCTGAGCCTCTCCCATGAGGTCTTATGAAGTGTTATGTCGTGGTGCTCTTTTAGAGCACTTGCCTCCTTATTATGACCATCTTGAACATTTGCTCCTATCCTTCTTCAATGAGTTTTATCTTTGGAACCGATTAGTCTATTATGCTTCATGCATGCCATAGACTCAATTCATTATGAACTTTATTTTATTTGGAGCATTAGCAGCTGAATATGACATTTAGCTTTGAGTTAGCAAATACGCCTGGCAATATTTTGCAAATGAATTATCACTTAAACTTCAAGTTTACATTTTCTCGTACGAGGATCTAAATGTATTCATAATAATTCATTACATGCATTACTTTTTCAACTACCCATTTTTTTCCCTATTATTTGGATCACCAACACATATCCCTAGCCTTATTTGGGGATCCATCTTTGTGCATTGTGGTAGAACAATTAAATCATATAGCACATTCATATTTTTAGATGAAAATTATTTGGTTCCTGACCCTGAACCGATTGTGATAGGGAGAACTTATCATAACTTGGCTAGATGCGTACAAGTGTTGTTGTATATTAAATAATACATCACATACCAAATTTTATTTTGGCAGTTTTGTTCTCATAACCAATGGTTTAGATATAATTGGAGGAATACAATTTCTGCTAAACCAACTTGGATTTAAACCAGTATTATCAAGATAAATTATCATAATTTATATTCTGGAACTGTGCTCTAATAATTTGAGCAATCAATCTTGCAAAAGCCAAACTGCAAGTTGATAACAAATGCGCAGTTTGGGTCATTGTGGATAGGTTGACCAAGTCAGCACATTTCATTCCAGTGGCAGTTACCTATTCTTCAGAGAGGTTAGCTGAAATTTACATTCGTGAGATTGTCCGCCTTCACGGTGTGCCCATGTCTATTATTTCAGATCGAGGTACGCAGTTTACCTCACAATTTTGGAGGGCTGTACATCGTGAGCTAGGCACGCGGGTGGAGTTGAGTACAATATTTTATCCACAAACAGACGGACAGTCAGAGCGCACTATTCAAATATTGGAAGATATATGCCAATGTAATTTTTAATTAATTTTTTGCATCATAATTGAACCGAGATGGTCAACCGGTCATGCCAACTAATATTTATTTCAGTAAACCTCTAGTTTACTTGTGGCTTGTGATTGCATCATCATGCTTATACTTGTGTAGTACAAATAGAAAAAAAGTCAGGTAACCTTTCATAGTTACCCGGTATGATTATAGTAATATAAAGATATTCAATCTTCTTTTCATTTATAGTCTCAATATGCCAACCACTTTGGCTAATATATTTGTAAATCAAAATGTTTCTTTTGAGACTTACTACAATATTAATGTCATGAACAATTTGATTCATCTTGGTAGTAACAAATTAGTTCTTTCAGAGCTCTTAACTGCTTTTGTACTACAAGATCTTTTGCCACACCATCGATATAATGAATGTCTCATTCACAAAGAGAATCATATCATAATAATTGTCATGTTCAAAATC